AAAGCTAGGCTAGGGCCGGGCACGGTGGCTTACCCCTATGATCGCGGCACTTTTGAAGGCCGAGGCGGGTAGATCACCTAAGGTCAGGAGTTTGAGACCAGCCTGGTCAACATGGTGAAAGCCCCTCCCCCTCCCCCGTCTCTACTAAAAATACAAAATTAGCCGGGTGTGGTGGCGGGCGCCTGTAATCCCAACTACTCTGAAGGATGAGACAGGAGAATTGCTTGAACCTGGGAGGCGGAGGTTTCAGTGAGCCAAGATCACACCACTGCACTCCAACCTGCGTGACAGAGCCAGACTCCATCTCAAAAAAAAAAAAAAAAAAAGCTAGGCTGGCTCGAGGGGGCCTCATCACGTCAGCAGATGTACTAGGGGTCCCTTTAGGAGCCCACAGACCCATCCTGTTCTTCCTGGGGTGTGTCAGGCACTGGTGACAAACAGAGAACAAGACAGACAAAAATTCCTGCCCTCAGAGAGCTTACACTCTGATGGTAACAAGTTCAGTAAAGAAAATAAAATGAAGCTGGGTGTGGTGTGGTGGCTCATAAGGTCGCTTGAGCCTGGGCAATATAGCAAAAGCCTGTTTCTACTAAAATTTTAAAAATTATCCAGTCTTGGTGGCGCGTGCCTGTAATCCCAGCTACTCAGGAGGCTGAGGCAGGAGAGTCACTTGAACCCAGGAGGCGGAGGTTGCAGTGAGCCGAGATCACACTGCCGCACTCCAACCTGGGTGACAGAGGGAGACTCCGTCTCAGAAAAACTTTAAAAAAATAAAATAATTAGCCGGGCATGGGGACACATGCCTGTAGTCCCAGCCACTCAGGAGGCTGAGGTGGGAGGATCTCTTGAGCCCAGGAGTTCAAGGCTGCAGTGAGCCATGATCACACCTCTACACTCCAGCCTGGGCGACACAGTGGGACCCTGTCTCTGTAAAGAATAAATAAAAATAAATTTGTCTTTATTGGCTGGAGCCTCCCAATTCTGGTGTGGGATAGAAAACTAAGAAAATGCATTAGTCCTGGGATCAGGGCTGCTTCAGTAGGAACAAGAATCAGGGCAGCTCCCCGCCCCCCACAAGAAAAGGAGAAAAACTCAAATAATGGGGAACTTGATACCATTTGCATTCACCAGACAGAAAAAGAGAGAAGTCTCAATTCAGGTGCTTCAGGGGCCAGACAAACTAAGAGAGGTAAGACCAACAGAGGCCAGGCACAGTGGCTCCCACCTGTAATCCCAGAACTTTGGAAGGCCTAGGCAGGCAGATCACTTGAAGCCAGGAGTTCAACACCACCCTGGCCAACATGGTGAAACCCCCATCTCTACTAAAAATACAAAAATTAGCTGGGCGTGGTGGTGCGCATCTGTAATCCCAGCTACTTGGGAGGCTGAGGCAGGAGAATCGCTTGAACCCAGAAGGTGGAGATTGCAGTGAGCCAAGATCACACCACTGCACTCCAGCCAGGGTGACAGAGTGGGACTCTGTCTCAAAAAAAAAAAAGACCAACAGAACTCACACCCTGGCTAAAGAGGGTGCCCTGGACTCCAGGCAAGCATGGCCAAGTCTTGCCAGAAATCCCGATCTTTGTGTTTGCATTGCCAGGTTTTTAGCAAGGGTGACTGATTCAAAGTTTAAAAACAAACAAACGAGAACACTTCTGTCTGGGTTAAACATCTGCATCTGGCCTGTGGGCCTATTTGAAAACTTTGACTGTTTAGCCCGTTCTGATGCTTAGACAGGACTGTGGCTCTGCCATAGGGTCCCCCTGCAGGACGCTGGTGACTCCCAAGGACATTGACAGCAGTGGCTTTCTGTCTCCATTCTGGAATCTGCATTCCGGGCTCACACTGTGGTCCCAAACACCGCAGGCTGGGGGGGGTCCCTGTCTGCCTCTTCCCCAGTGCTATTGGCAAGGGGTGGACCAGGCCCACCGGGGGGTGGGTGGCCGAGGTCACTGGCCGGCACGGGCCCCAGGCGCTCAGCCTCAGCCAGGGCAGCCAACAGCCCGGCCAGGGGTGGTCGGCGGCGGCAGATGTCCTGCAGCAGCTCAGCCCGGGGCTGCAACTGCCTAATGAGTTTGTCCCTCTGGTGCACGGCGGCCTGCAGGCTGTGGACAGTGGCCTCTGAGGTCATCAGCTGCTCCTGGAGTGTGGCAATCTCACTGGCAAGAAGGCAAGAGGAGGTGATTACGGAACTGAGGACCACGGTGCTTGTTCCTCCCTGCTCCGGACCCCATCACCTTTGGGATAAAGCCCGCATTCCTCACCACTGCCTCAGGGTCCTGCCTGGTTATGAACGGAATGTTTCTTTGTTTTTACTATTATTATTATTATATTTTACTTTTTTTTTTTTT